TGTACTTAAAAGTGTATAGTAATTCTTGTGCATAGATGTATAAAAAAGTGTATAGAAATATTTGTGCATAGAAGTGTGACTTTAAGAGCCGTAGCGCAGTGGTTAGAGCGCGTGCCTCAGAAGCTAAAGATCCGTGGTTCAACGCCAACTCTGAGCAAGTTTGACAACATCGGTAAGGAAGGAGGCGTTAACCTTCTTTCAAACGCTTTTCCTTTGTGTTCTGTGATAATACCGTAAGAACTTCTTGGGGCACCTAAAATAATAATTAAAAAAAAAGCTTTAATACGACGCCTGATTTATTGGTATATATCAACAGGCAATTCAATCCTGGTGTTAGAGGTGGTTAATTGAAGATAACAGAAACTATAATTTATATGAAATAAATGTAGGATTTGAAGTTGATTTCAATGTCTCTACAATATGGATAGGGTAAAAAAAATAATTAATAAAACATTATTTTAAGACCAACTAGTGAAAGACGCAATACTGCAAAGGTAAAAGAAGACAGAAAAAACATATGTTTCATGGTACTTAATCTTGACATTGCAACAACGTTACAGAAATATCATTTATATTGATAAAAATCCGTTCAATTTTTATATGATAAGAAACCACAAATAGATTCTCCGAGGAAAGACCCAAAAGCAACGTGTATTGTCATTATGAGGCCTTAACCATTATATAATAGCTTTAACATGTTATGAGCAGCCGTTGCGCAATTGTTAGAGTTCTGGCTTAGAACCTAGAGGTCCGAGGTTCGACGCCAGCTCTAGCCTAATAAGCGACATTAGTAATGAAGGAGGCGTGAACTTCTAGTTAAATGCTCTCCCGCGGTGCTCCGTGATAAGACCATAAGGACTTCTGGGAGCACCTAAACAACCCAAAAAAACATAACAAAAAAAAAGCAACAAAAAAAAACAAACAAACATAGTCTACAGTGAAGAAATAATTAGTGCAGGGGTGACAGCAGATATTGTTTAAGAATTCTTAAACTTAAAAGTATTTTGAGGGAGGAAGAAGAGTTTACGTTTGAGATGGACTACGATTATTTTTATCATTCATTTTCAGATTTTTATGATAGTTATCCCTAAGATATTTGTTTTTTCTAATACTCACTAGATCCTTATGAGGAGGCATTCTTGAAAAATAAGAATAATACAAAATTACAAATAGTTTCCAACGGAAATAACAAATTATTAGAACAAATGAGGAACAGTTGTGAGCATATTAATGAACATAATCTTTCAAGCTAAGCAAGACGTTGCGATTGTTTACTTACGCAATTTATTAAGGGATATAGCATTAATAGTGAGTAAAAAGTTGCAATTGTTCAAAATTTATTTTTGCGAACTTTTAGAAATAGTAATTTATATCAAACAAAAACTCAAAGTGTGATTAACTATTAGATTTTACGCAAGCAATATTTTAGAATACTATCTATAAGATCTTATTAGAATAAAAGGTAATATTTTTATCATTAGATTTTAGCATCGTAATTTCTAACAAATACCATCTACTAGACACATTACAAAAGTGGCTAAATTTGCCTCATGACCGACCATTATTAAAAACTGGATAAGCAAAGAATAAATATGTTAAACGTTATTAATCTTGAGGATTAGGTTGAATTAGAGGAATAGATTTCTCCGGAAAATTTTTATTATTACATTCTTTAACTCTAAGAAATATCTTAAAGGTCTTAAATATCTTAAATATCTTAAAAGTCTTTTAAACTGACAATTACTTTGCTTCCAAATAAAAAGTAAAAAAAAAGGTAAAAAAAAATAAAAATACCATTCTTTTGGTTTAAAATGAATTCTTTTACTTTTTTTAATTTCAAAGATGTTGGTCTCAGTTAATTAAGTTTATTAATCAGTTATCCGTTATTAATTTTCTGTTAATAATCTAAACAATTAATTCTAAAGCTATTAAAAGCTGTAGTTCTTAAGCTTTTAATCTAAACAAGCATATAAACATAAACAAGTTGCTTTTTCATATTTATAACTAAATGCATATTTCAATTACTTTCTATTGATTTCTTTTGCATTAATTTGTTTATTGCTTAAGTTGCACACATAACTCCTCGACTTATCTCATTCGAACAGGTTCAGCACCTTAGAAAAATTTTAAGTAATATCTTATCAAATAAATCTGGTAAAGATGATTTTTAATTAACTAAAAATTGTATCTGTGAGCCACATTTGGCCATAGTGTGTCTAGATGAAAAAAAGTGTGAAAATATAAACAAGTTGATGGTTGATATATAAATCGATGATAAATGTAGGACACATAAGGATCACATTATATTAACCCGCACCGTTATGCCACTTAAGGTGACATAATGGTGTCACTTAATGTAGCATAAACCCAACATAGGTGCCACTTAATGTGGCATAAATAATCAATAAATAATGTGAAATATAATATCATATCTTTAGTACAAACATAAAGCACATGATCTTGCCGCATTTTAAATATTAGCCAAATTTTAAATTATAAAACTAGTAAACTGTGATTTCATTTCGGAAAAAGCAGGAATATTACATTACAGCAGGTGGTTTACGATTTCAATTTTTTCAAAAAAATTAGTTATTTATATTTAAGTCCAAACAGACTTATCACAGAGCATCACAAAATAGCATTTAAAAGTTGTTTTTGCATTTTCAACTGTTTTTTATTAATTTTTGTTTCAAATAATATTTTTTTAACAAACTATTTTGATAATTTTCAACTGTATTTAATAATTTTCGACTCTATTTAATAGTTTTTAATTGTATTTAATAACTTTTGTTAGTCTGTTAAAGCGGTTTTTATAAATAATATTTTTGAGAGCTGTTAAACAACTTAATTTTTCAGCAAAAATTTGTAAATATCAAAGTTTAATTTAATATGGATGAAAAATACTTTAAAACATTGTGTTTGTTGCAAAAAAATACATATATAAAAGAGCGAAAAAAGATTCTAAAATGACCATCCAAGTAAACAAACCTCATTTGCTTTCAATTTTTTTTGTATTCTTTTTAAACTAGGGTTTAATAAAATAGTTTTTTTAAGCTACTTTTCGAAGCGATGTAAAAAGACTAGATAAAATGTTAAAAGAAGCCATCACCGCTATCTTGTATAATTCATCAGACTATGGCGGTGTATAGAACGAATACAGAACAAAGTTATATATTGTATGAAAAGTTTTTTATGTATATATGAATTCGCAAATAAAGCTTTAAAGAAATGCAAAATGTATAATATATTACTCTTTAATTCTTTTATCTGATATGTGGCTACGCATATGTATTCGTATAAGAATAAGTATATATATATATATATATATATATATATATATATATATATATATATATATATATATATATATATATATATATATATATATATATATATATATATATATATATATTTATATATATATATATATATATATATATATATATATATATTTATATGTAATACATGCGTGGCGATTGTTTTATTTAGTATGGTATTAAGTAGTAGAAGCATTAAAGCTTCAAATCGGAACGTACAACATAATTCCAAAGAAGGAGAGTGGTCAGCATATGGATAACAAATGCCTCCCAAATATGGTCCATATAGAACTTACGCTTTTAAATATAGTAAGACGTTTGTTCTTTTTCAACGTAATTTTAATGCTATTAGTGATTAGAATCTATTGATAATTCTTTAGTTGTATTCATTTATCACCTCTTAATTCAATCACCTTTCTCTTTGTTCTTTATCGTTCTTCTTCTTCTTCTTCTTCTTCTTTTTCTACTTCTCAAAACTGTTCTCTTATATATGCAATTTCTAATTAAATTGACCAGCCTAATAGCAAGAATAAGAATAAATTTAGAAAAAATAATAGAATTCTTATATTTTATGCGACAGTACAATAGACTTTTAATCATATATACTTTCATTTCTCTAGTATAAATATATTAGTAAACATTCTGCGGAAAAGTTTTTAAGCACGATGAATTTTTGTTTCAAAAGTCAAAAACTAAAAAAAAGATTTTACTAGCATGGAAATGAGATTTTTTTGATTGACTCTAATGTTGCCTGATGTACGGCTTCTTCGAAGGAGAACACAGTAAAATTTTTTATTTTTATAGGATCAACACTGATTTCTTATGCATAAAAGTCGGACATCTGGACACCCAAGATGTGTATGAATATAGAAGGGTTTAACGTACGTCACAGAATGTATTTGTCGCAAATTAGAATTATTAATTATATAATTTTTATTGTTTTAGGGCTCCTATAAACCCCATAACCACTTGTGCTACATAAAATAAATCTATTTAAAGCCACGCAGCCCTACGCTATAAAAAATGGATGAAATTCTATTATTCTAATTGAATGACGTTAAAACGACAGCAAAGTAATGAAGATGAGACAAAAATAATGCAATCCATAGAATTTAAAGAGTAACTTTATAGTTATAATAACAAATTTTTGAAAAATATATGAAGCATGTTTTTCGTTGTGCTATTTATCTTGCTAATAATTTTTTTGTTAAGTATTTTGCAAAATCGTGCTATTAATTTTTTTTTATTTCAATATTTTGTTATTATTTTTAACATAGAAGGATATCATCAAAGAATTTCCATTTTTAAAGTTACGCTCACCTATGAGTAAACTATTTTGTATCACGTAAAATACAGAACAAAGTCTTCACTTATTAAATTAATAAAATTACTAAAAATCTTTAACCTTTGTGGTCGGATAACTCAGTTGTTAGAGCGTCAAAAAACATGAGCTGTGGTGCAATACGAATTTAAATTTGGGCACCGTCTACTTATGGCTTAAATAGTAATTCGTACGCAAAAACGTTGGTCAGAAACAGGCGCTAATTTGAATTAGTCCTGATTACTATTTGTGTCTTTACGCTAAGCCAAAAAAATATTTAAACATAAGAGCACTGTGTAGCAAAAAATAGCATACAGTTCAAATATAATTGAAAAAAAAAAAAAAAAAAATTAAAAGACAACCTGTTTTTGTTGCAAAACACAAAGTTAAAATGGAATGTTACTACTAACGTGTGTTCTAGATGGTTTTAATCCTAGTATTTAGTTTGAATAAAAATATTTTATTTCAAAATCATGTTCATTCAATACATTTTAACGTAATTATGCAAAACATGCAAAACTAGTACCGAAGCTCCAACACATTGGCATTAAGTTAATATTTTACAAAATTAACAGTAACTTAAAAATACCTTTTCATTTTTAAAAAGATAAAAATATAGTCTCCAAGTCGTTTAGCGTTTAATAATTAAAAAAATTAACAATACTCAAATTTAAAATAACAAAAAACAACACCAAAGTTTAAAATAATTAAAAAAAAAAGATTAAATGATATTGCTGACGCCGCGTATAATGACAGCTGTACCGGACAGCTGTATCTTAAAATAAAATAAGAATTATTTATAAATAATATAAAAAAAACTCTTTCGCTGATAAAAGTCTTAAGGAAGAGTTGTAATACATTTTTTTCTTTCAGCTGAACAAACGTAAATGTGAGCTAAATGATGCATACATGTGCTAAACGGAGGATACGTACGTAATGATGCATAATTGTGAGCAAAATGGTGCATACGTACCACTCAATTTAATGCAACTTTGATGTCCGATGACGACTGACGCTAACAATTTACTGATGAAAAAAAAAAAAAAAGAATCGTAAAAGTGAAATAAAATATTTATGTAAGTTTATGATAATTTCTAAAAAACGATCCTATAAAGTTTACATTAAATAAATAAAGTTTAAACACCATCAAGTAAAAATAAACTGTTAAGTACAATAAAAATAACGCGTCACATGAAATAAGTTACAATAACTATGCAATAAGATACATTAATTAAAAACCATGTGCTGCGGAAAGACATTTCTAATCATTTATACAAATGAAAATAAAAAATTGAACTTATGTTTTTAAGAAATTTATAATAAAAATATATAGTACTATAAAATATAAAACGTTATAATAAATATTGTTTGTAATATATATATATATATATATATATATATATATATATATATATATATATATATATATATATATATATATATATATATATATATATATATATATATATATATATATATATATATATATATATATATATATATATATATATATATATATATATATATATATATATATATATATATATATATATATATATATATATATATATATATATATATATATATTTATCAATTTTATGTTTCTTTTGCTTGTTTGAATTTGGGTTTAATATTTGATGCAAAAAAAAAAAAAAAATTTTAATTTCTGAACCAATGTCATTTTTAGCCAAATCCAAAATCTTAAATAAATTCCTTAAACGTGAATAATTGTTTTTTAAATGTTGAAAAAATTTGTGATTTTATATCATTATTAAAACTATCACTAAAAATAGAAAAAGAAAGAAGTTTAGGACTGTTCCTCTAGTAAAAAAGATTAAAGTAAATGTTGGAGTAAACGCAGAAAGTAAATACTTAAGTGAAAAATATTGCTTTATTTTTAACGAAGAAAAAGTCAATTTTATAATAAAATCTATTTTACAAAATCCTTTAGTCAATCAAAGGTTTTATTTGTAATATTTATAGATCTATTACCGACGTAGGGCAATTTGAAGAACTTGCTTAATAAAATTACGGGTTCATTGTAACTTTGATTTAAATATTGATTAATACATCGGTTAATTGATAAAGTATAACAGGATATTGATTTTTTTGCAAAATGGTTTTTGTGTTTTGAATATCATCATGGTAACCGTCCTATGTATTATTCATTTTAAAAGTGCAATCAGTTAGGAGTTTTAGAATCAATAGTTTTTTATTGCTGAAGTTAAATTTAATTAAATGCAAAATTAAAATACTCTAAAAACCAGTTTCTTTAGTAATAAATGCCCCGACAAGAAAATTGATGTGTCGCGAGTGATAGCAACACTCAAATTATAGGATGGTAACCATGGAACCATGGTATGTGAACCATGTAAGAGCTAAAATAAGAATTGTAGTATAAATAGAAAACATGTAAAAGAAACTATTGGCCGAAATATAACTCATAAATCATTTTAAAATATTTTGTACTTCTAAATCTGTTTTAAACTCAGTTTTAAAGTCGTTAATAGAGCGCAGCACAAGGCGCCAGGTGGTAAATAAAACCTAAAAAAAAGTTTATTGTATTCCTAATATTTTATTGTACTATTTTAAAAGTTATTTTGAGTATAGTAGTATCTTTAAAAACCACAAAAGCAATTGCAGTGCCGCAAGTTAAAATAATAGTTTATTTTAAATTAAAAAAAAACGCGTGAGAGTTTCTAATTTATACGCATAAAGCTATAAATAAACAAATCAGTACTCACATAGTGTTTTAAAAGTTACTGTTTACTTATATAAAGTAGCCTCATTAAGTTAAACCTAATGGGGCTACTTAGTATAGTACTCTGCGAAACATTATCATTCAACATAAGCATAAACAAACTTAAGTTTGTTCATGCTTATGTTAAATGATTGTGTTTTGCAAAAATTCGCAGTGATTGGAGCCTGGGAACAAAAATTTCCGAAAGTATGTGCTTCTCGACAACCACTTTGTAAAAAATACTTTTTTTTTTTTTCTACTAACCATTATATATTTCAAAAACAAATAATATTTACATATCTCATGTTTATATAAATGTCTACCACACATATTCACAATTTCTAAAGAGCATTAACAATGCTATTTTAATTATAATTATTTTTAAAATTCCTGGTTTATAAAAGTGTTGGCTATTATCCCATGCAAATAAGAAAACATACACAACTACGTCGCACTAAAGGGCTACTAGGAATGCTTGTGGTTTACTACCTGTTTGTGGTTGTCATTGAATATATATATATATATATATATATATATATATATATATATATATATATATATATATATATATATATATATATATATATATATATATATATATATATATATATATATATATATATATATATATATATATATATTATAATAATTCTATGTAGGTTGTAAGGAAACTCGCAGAAGGCTAAGAGAAATCTTTTCATCGAAAACTTTAAAATACAAAATAAACTAAAAATTTAAAAAGTAAATTTATAAAACACACATTAACTTTTTGATGTCTACTGTTCAGTAATATTTTACTATGTATAGTTGCTAACTATTTTTCTTCTTCATTTTTTTTTTATGTTTTTTTTCTTTTATTTTTATATAATTATTTTTATAATTTAAATTGTTCTTAGTAAATTTTTTTATATTAATTGTTCTTTTTTAATACATATTGATAAAATTGGTTTTATTAATTATGAGATCTTTTAGTTTTTTCTTCAGGGCAATAAGATTATGCAATTTAGTAAGTTCTATATTTTGAGAAAATCTCGAAATTTTTTTTTTTTAATGGGCAATGTGAAGTTTCCTGTTCCTCGTGTGATATATCTGTTGGTGTTGGTTCGAAAAAAGTTATTAGCAAAACGAGTTGGGGCAAGTCCGAGCTTATATTTGAGCATAAATAAAATATTTTGGTAGATGTTAATTTGATAGATATTGAAAACATTCAAGTTTTTAAGTAAGGGATTGGCATAAGTGAATATTTTTATTATAAATCAATCTTGATGCGTGTTTCTGGTCTATATATAGAGAGTTTAGTTTAGATTTGTGTGCATTTTCCCAGGCAATACTAGCATAGTTAGATAACTTTGTATAAAAGAAAAGTGGAGAAATTTTAGAATCTCCTGGAAAATTATAGGTTTGACTTTGTAAAGTATGGCGATACCTTTTGATATTTTTGTATTTAATGTTTTTATATGGGCTTTCAAAGAAATCGTTTGGTCAATAATTATTCCAAGAAATTTTATGGTTTCAGTTATTTCGATGTTTATGTTATCAATTTTTAGCTTATTATTTCAAAATTTATTGTCTGATTTTAAATTTCTTTTAATAATCTTTTAGTGATCGAAAGTTATGACCAAGCAAAATTTACAATTACCTCATTTTGGGGAGGGCGGAAATTTTACATAATCAAAACTTGCGAACGTCAAAAACTTATTAAATAAAACTAAAAGCCTGTAAATAAATTTAAATTTTGCATAATTATGCTAAAAAAAGTTTCATCAACTAGTTATAAAATGTCATATATGAAACAACTGGTTAATTTATTTACATACTTCTATTTAGTACAATAAGTTTCAAATAGCAAACCTATAAAACTTATATAAGGTGCATGAACTAGTAAATGCAGTAAGTATACAACCTATTAAAACTGTATACATTGTCCATAACTACCTTATTTGTGTTTATTTAATATTTTAAAAGAATTAGTTTAATTACACCATGTAACAACATTTTTGTTTATGTTAATTTTTTAATGTTTCTTACATAATTTTTGTATGCTGATTTCAGTGGTACCATTGGTTTTTCTCTATCATCAAGATTTCCTGAGAAAAAGCATAAAGTATATTTCGGAGTTTTCGTATATGTGTAATGCAATTAAAACATTATATATATATGCTGATTTTAACTATATTCGTGTGTTTATTTTCAGTTTAACTAATTACAACTGTTACATGAAGTAGTGAATATGTCTAGTAGATCCTGCAAGCTTTGTCCTGACTCATTCTGTTATGTTTGTGGTTACTATATTAGTCCAACACAAGCTAAACATAAGATTGTCAGTGGTACAAAATTCTTTACTGCATATCATGCTTATTTTGGCATGGCTATGGGAGATCAGGACAAATCGTGGGCACCACACAACAGTTGTGGTAGCTGCAGATCAACTCTGGAAGAATGGCTGCGTGGAATCCGAAAGTCAATGCCCTTTGCGATTCCGAGAATATGGAGAGAACCGACGAACCATCATGATGACTGCTTTTTCTGCATTGTTGACATTTCAAAGTATAAAAAACCGAAAGATAGGCTGACTTTAGTTTATCCAAGTATACCATCTTCTATTGGACCAGTTCCACACAGTGATGAATTGCCTGTTCCTACTCCACCTCAAACCGAAGAAGCAGCTGCATATCATTCTGAAGTAGACTCACCGGATGAACTCAATGATGACTGTGGTTTCAGGGAACCGAATGATTCACCTCATTTCCCTAACCAACAAGAACTTGATGACTTAGTACGAGATTTAGGTCTCACTAAATCAAATGCAGAACTTCTGACATCACGTTTGAAAGAATGGAATTTATTAGATCCAAGCTGCAGAACCTCGAAATACCGAAAAAGACGAAAAAGATGAAACATTCGCATACTTTTATGTAGTATCAGAATCACTGTGCTATTGTCATGACGTTCGTGGTCTTTTCAATGACATTGGCATTGTTCACAATCCTGAAGAGTGGAGATTATTCATTGACAGCTCAACAAGAAGTCTAAAGGCAGTTTTGCTCCATAACGGAAACCGATTTCCTTCGATTCCAGTAGCTCATTCCGTTCATCTAAAGGAAGACTATAAGAACGTGAAGTTGTTGCTTGAGAAAATCAACTACGACAGTTACAAGTGGGATGTATGTGGAGACTTTAAGATGCTAGCATTTCTTCTCGGTCTGCAAGGAGGATACACAAAGTACTCGTGTTTTCTTTGTTTATGGGATAGCAGGGCTGCAAACCAGCACTTCACAAGACGTGAGTGGCCAGTGAGAGAACATTTACAGCCTGGTTCGCACAATGTTATTAATCAATCTCTGATACCTGTTGAAAAGATCTTACTACCACCCCTTCACATTAAACTTGGTCTTATCAAACAATTTGTCAAAGCATTAAACCCAGATAGTGCAGCATTCCAGCATATTCGGCAGATGTTTCCAAAGGTGTCAGATGCAAAAATTTCAGCAGGTATATTCGTTGGTCCACAGATTAAAGTTATGTTGGCATGTAAGGAGCTTGAGGACAAAATGTCTGCTGTTGAAAAAGAAGCATGGACTGCATTTAGACATGTTGTTCATAGCTTTTTAGGCAACAATAAGAGTGATAACTACAAAGAGATAGTGGAAAACTTAGTTGTACGGTACGCAGATATGAAATGCAGAATGTCAATAAAGCTGCATTACCTGCATTCACACTTGGAATTTTTCAGACTAAATTTGGGTGATGTGAGTGAAGAGCACGGGGAACGTTTCCATCAGGATATTCTTGCAATGGAGAAAAGATACCAGGGCAGATGGGATGCAGCTATGATGGGTGACTACATCTGGTGTTTGATACGCGATGACGAGAAACTTCATAAAAGAAAACTTCGTTCTACTGTTCACTTTTAGTGTTTTTTGAGATTGTGAGAGACTGTTACAATACAATATAATGTAACATTATGTAATATATGTAAGAAACATGTTGTAACATGAAGTTTTGTAACATAACATAACACTTTTGAATTAGTAAATGTTTTAAAGTTTTATTGACTAAAGTAGAATCTAATGCAAAACGATTTATATTAATTATATGTTTAATTGATTTTTTGGTTTTACGACCAAACGATTGATGCAATAAAAAATCCAATGTCATATTCAGACTCAGCATACTCAAATTAATTAAGAAACATCAAAAAATTTTGATAAACAGAAACATTGTGTTATTTCTTTATAACATTTTATAGAATTCTTTTCGTACTTTTCACTTATATTATTTGTTTGAAGTTACTTTTTTTTCACACTATAAATATTATTTATATAAAATAAATATTGTAGATAATATTTTTAATTCAATATGCCATTATTATTTCTTGAAGATCTTTTATACTAAAATTTCACTAACGTGGTTAAAGTTCGTAAATTTTTTTAATTAAATTATCGTCTATTTGGTCACCAAGAAATTTTTTTGTTTATATTATTATGTAATTATCCTGCGGAGTTTTTTATGGAAATTTATTGGTTGACCTGTTTTATAAAATAAAAAGTATTTGTTTTTTTTACAGATTGAAATTAGTTTGTTTGCTCTGAACCATAAGTTAAAGTTTTCTAGTTCAGTATTCACTTTGTGCTTACTCAAGAATAAATGCTGAACGGCATGAGTTGTCTCAGGCAAATTGCAACCTTTTTTAATCTTATATGAATAACAAAAGGTTGAAAAGAAAGGCTGCAGAAACTCAAATAAGGTATCTGACCATACCTTATTTGAGTTTTTGTAAAGCTGCGGAAACTCATATAAAAGTTTCCGCAGCTTTAGAAAAAATTTATTTTCAAATTATAGGTCATTTTTCTTTCTAGATGCATTTAGATCATGTGGCATGACTAATCCTGCTAACATTTTGTTACCAGGATTAGTTATGCCACATGATCAATTGTTTTTCAAAATTGTGTTAAAAAGCCGGAATGTTTTTCATACATTCCGGCTTTTTAACACAATTTTGAAAAACGTTTCCAGAGTATTTTTAAAAATTGTTCGCTGTTGCTTTTCATTCCAACATTGAACAGCTTTTACCAAAGTTTGAAAAGTATCTCAGAAAATACATTTTCTGTTTCACTAATTTAAACTTTCTAATTCACCAGCATTAAGTTTTTCATATTCAATCTATGTATGTTACATATTTCCTTTGAGCCATTAAAAAAGTGTAATTACCTGAAAAATAATTAGACTGGTAATTAATTATTTCAAAAATTCAATGTATGTAAGTTAAATAGAGAGTGAATACAATTTTACTTGGAGACATTAAAATTGGTTCAACTGTCTTCTTTCCAAGCTTGTCAAGTTTTTTTTTGTGTTAAAACTGTATTTTCACAGAGCTCTAGACCCACGGTTTAGAGCTCTGTGAAAAAAAATTCCTAATATAATTGAAATCAATTTGTTTCTATAAATGAAAAGAAACTCCAATATTTTTGATATTGCAATGTTTTTAATATTTTTGTTGGTGTACCTCATGGGTCCATACTGGGACCATGACTATGTATAATTTACATAAATGGTTTATATAAGGCTATCACTTAAATTAAATAGATCCAATTCTATCTTATCTAAACTAAAGCTGATAACAAACTTGATATTTGCCAGTTTTTTTTGTGTATTAATTTTATTTTGAATTATAAAAATTGGGTTTTAAAAAAGCACTAATAAAGCAGGTATTTACAAAAAAGTTCAAGCTTTGATTAAATAGAATAATGCAAAAACTAAGTTTGTTTGTTACTCTGCCCACACTTTGAACTTATGCTGTGTTTTACTGTTGAATATTTAGTTCCTGTGAAATCCTACCTTGAAAATACTTATAAACTATACCATTTGTTGCACTGCAGTACAGCTCATTAGAAATCTTTTGTGAGGTGACATGGCTAGCTTTTTTTTATTTTTGATGTAAATTTTTGATAACAATTAATGACAAGATTCTACTTCTTCCATCCACTCTATATGATAGATTCTAAATGACTCTTTAACGCATCTGAGTCAAATTCGTCTGTAATACAACCTGATTTTGATAGAGACAACAGAAAATGCAAAGAATTTAATGAAATTTTTTAAATGTAATTTGATGAAATCATGTCTGCCAAAAATCAAATGTGTAAAAGAACAATTCTTCTTGAAAAAACTGCGGGCTACGACAAAAGAACATTCAAAAACTTTAAATGTTGGGTGAAAAACCTTGCATTAGACAATCTTAACAGTCAAATGAGACCAAGATTTAAACAATTGAAAAGGAATGTAAGAAGTTTTTTTTTTTCATTTGGCCTTCATAAAAATCTTTAACAAGCAAAGAAAAAGTAAAGTTTAGAAAAACTCAATTGAGCAAAGTTAATAAAAAATTAAATTTGCCATTTTTCATTACAGGGTTTTTCAAAGTTATAAGTGCACGTTTGCAAAGTTATAAGTGCACGTTTGCAAAGTTATAAGTGCACGTTTGCAAAGTTATAAGTGCACGTTTGCAAAGTTATAAGTGCAAATTTGCAAAGTTATAAGTGCATTTATAAAATTAATTTTAACTCTTATATTTTAAATATCAATGGGAAGAAAAGTACGGAAAACAATTACAGAAGAAATTAAAAATACGATTATTTCAATGAGAAATTGTGAAAAATATTCAATCAAGGAAATATCCAACGCTTGTAATTTAACTCGAAATGCTGTTGGTCGTGTTATAAAAAATATTGACAATAATATACCCTTCACGTCATTTACAGTAAAAAGAAAAGAAACCTATAAAATCAAAAATTCTATAAATACAAACATTGAACAGACAATATTTAATTTCGTGGTCTGTAACAATGCCGTAGTTCAAAAAGAAATTCAAACGCAAATTTTAGAACAACATGGTAAAAACGTTTCAATCTCGTTTGTTTCCCGTAAATTAAAGTTTAGCAATCATTCCTCAAGAAAGAAACACCATGGAAAGAATAAATCAGAGATCAATTTTTGCGGTAGAAGTTGCTAGAATTGCGGATTCAAATTTGTTTTTTTTTGACAAAACCGGATTCAATAAACACAGTGCGCTCATATGGCTATTCTCCAAAAGATACAAAAGTTCCTGCAAATAAAGGACAAAATGTTAGCCTCATGTGCTTAATTTCCAATTTAGGAGTTGAATGTTACCAATACAAAAGCGGCGCATACAATACACAATCATTTATTGATTTCATCAACAACAAACTAGTACCATTCTTTGCAGTAAGTCCAAATAAAATTCTTATCCTAGATAATGCAAAATTTCATAAAGCAGCTGCAGTACTTCAATTACTAAGAAAAAAAAAATATTACTCACAAGTTTTTAGTACCATACTCCCCTGAATTGAACCCAATCGAAGAGTTATTTTCAATGTTAAAATCCAATTTCAAATCCAGGAGAAATGCTAATCCCGATATGACTGTTAAAGAAACTCTAAAATACATTTTATCACCTGATAATAATTATAGTCAACAGTGCAATGCGTTTTATATAAATATGAGAAGATGGTTGGAAAAGGCAATAAGAAGAGAAGAATTTATCTAATTAAAATATTTAAAATGATTTGTTTATTTTTTTTAATAATGTATATTTTTGCATGCCTTTTTAAAATATTATGATTAAATAATGTATACTATTTTTCAAAAATTTTGAAAGTGTATAATCTAGAAAAGTTATTGATATATAACAATATGCTAAATTAAGTAAAAATGTAAAGAATTTTCACTAACTAATCACTTTTTAGAAAAAAAAACAAAAAACAAACCCTTACTGATTGCTATGCTGTAATTTAATTTAATATTTTGCGCAATATTATTAAAGTTAAAAAAATAATTTCCAAAAAAATGTATATGCACTTATAACTTTGCAAGCACGCA